TACGTGTGAACATTTCATCTATTTCCACTTTGTCAATTCCCCTGAGTATTTTATATGTCCCTATCATATCTCCTCTCTCCTTTCTTTTCTCTAGTGTCGTAAGGTTCAGTTCCTTCAGCCGCTCTTCATATCCCATCCCTCGTAGCTCTGGGACAAGCCTCGTCGCAAACCTCTGAACCTTCTCCAGTTTCTTTATGTGTTTCTTCAGGTGGGGGCTCCATGATGGCGCGGCATACTCTAAGACGGGTCTCACGTAGGCAGTGTAAAGCGCCCTAAAAGCTTCCTCATTTAGGTTTCTGAATGAAGTTCTAATTTTCGCCAGTGTAGAGTACGCTGCTGTCGTTATCCTATTTATATGTGCCTCAGGAGTTAGATTAGGTGTCACATCCACTCCCAGGTCTCTTTCTCGAATCGTTACAGGTAGGCTGTTCCCCTTCATTGTGTACTGTCCCTTTGGTCTCCTGTCACCTGATCCCATTTCCATAACTTTACATTTACTGGTGTTAAACTCCAGTAGCCATTGTGTGTGTGTGTGTGTGTGTGTGTGTGTGTGTGTGTGTGTGTGTGTGTGTGTGTGTGTGTGTGTGTGTGTGTGTGTGTGTGTGTGTGTACTCACCTAGTTGTGCTTGCGGGGGTTGAACTCTGGCTCTTTGGTCCCGCCTCTTAACTGTCAATCAACTAGTGTACAGATTCCTGAGCCTATTGGGCTCTATCATATCTACATTTGAAACTGTGTATGGAGTCAGCCTCCACCACATCACTGCCTAATGCATTTCACTTGTTAACGACTCTGACACTGAACAAGTTCTTTCCAATGCCTCTGGCTCATTTGGGTACTCAGCTTCCACCTGTGTCCCCTTGTTCGAGTAACACCCGTGTTAAATAATCCATCCATCTCTATCCTGTCAATTTCCCTGCGAATTTTGTATGTGGTGATCATGTCTCCCCGAGCTCTTTGTCTTCCAGTGTCGTAAGGTGCATTTCCCGCAGCCTTTCCTCGTAACTCATGCCTCTTAGTTTTGGGACTAGTCTAGTGGCATACCTCTGAACGTTTTCCAGCTTCGTCTTGAGCTTGACAAGGTACGGGCTCCATGCTGGGGCCGCATACTCCAGGATTGGTCTTACATATGTGGTACACAAAGTTCTGAAAGATTCCTTACACAGGTTCCTGAACGCTGTTCTGATGTTAGCCAGCCTCGCACATGCCGCCGATGTTATTCTTTTGATGTGGGCTTCAGGAGACAGGTTTGGCGTGATATCAACTCCTAGATCTTTCTCTCTATCCGTTTCGTGAAGGACTTCATCTCCCATTCGGTATCCCGTGTCTGGCCTCCTATTTCCTCTACCTAGTTTCATTACCTTACATTTACTCGGGTTGAACTTTAGTAGCCATTTGTTGGACCATTTCTTCAGCCTGTCTTTGTCATGCTGTAGCCTCCTTCTATCTTCCTCTGTCTTAATCCTCATCATTTTTGCATCATCATCAAACATTGAGAGGTTAAGCCTATTTGTGCCTGCAGGATCGAGCTCGAGCTCTTGGACCCCGCTTTTCTAGCTGTTGGTTGTCTAATACAATGACTGTTTCGGGTGTGTGTGTGTGTGTGTGTGTGTGTGTGTATATATATATATATATATATATATATATATATATATATATATATATATATATATATATATATATATATATATATATATATATATATATATATATATATATATATATATATATATATTACTGAAGCTGGAGGGCGTTCACGTGTGTTCCTATATACACACTGCAGCCTCGTCCACAAATAACATCTGCGTTAAGGGCTTTGCATGTGTTAGTGGTCAACACCTGATGCTCACTGATGGACCGGAATGGTGGAACGGGAGGGAGGGGGAGGGAGGGGGAGGGAGGGAGAGGAAGGGAGGGGGAGGGAGAGGAAGGGAGAGGGAGGGGGAGGGAGAGGAAGGGAGAGGAAGGGAGGGGGAGGGAGGCCCGGGTAACATAGCTACATATCTGATTATCTCTCCATCTCTTAAAATCTTCTTCTGCATATTTATATCTAATACGTCGCACTTTTAACGGAACCGACCAAACCATTACAAATTCGACGTTTTTGGGGAAAAATAAATGCACCGGGCTAGCATTTCAGCCATTTCTCCTTTCTGTTCATGTAGGCTGTTACCCCTAATGTATGACTGCAAAACGGTTCAAAGGTTTTTAGGAAGACACATTACGGTGATACCTTGTATGAATTTTAAGACATCATTAATTATTTAATATTTCTACAGTCACTATAAAGCTCAACGAATGCTCTAGAAAACAAAGGTCAACAGACTGCCGACCTGTGGAGCGGGTATTTTGTAATTTAAGTCAATAGTAGGCAAACAGCATGTCAAGGATTTGGGAATAATAATGTCTGACGATCTAACGTTTAAGGAGCATAACCAAGCAAATATTGCGTCAGCCAGAAAAATGATCGGATGGATTACGAGAACTTTCAAATCCAGGGATCCCATCACAATGGTTGTACTCTTCAAGTCACTTGTGTTGTCCCGTCTCGAGTACTGCTCAGTACTCACTTCCCCCTTCAGAGCAGGAGAGATTGCAGAAATAGAGGGAATACAGAGAACATATACGGCACACATAGACGCGATAAAGCACCTAAATTATTGGGATCGTCTCAAAGCTCTCCAAATGTACTCACTAGAATAGAGACGAGAGAGATACCAAATAATATACACCTGGAAGATACTGGAGGGCCAGGTCCCTAATCTACACAGTAAAATAACAACGTACTGGAGTGAACGATATGGAAGAAAATGCAGAACAGAACCAGTGAAGAGCAGAGGTGCCATAGGCACAATCAGAGAACACTGTATAAACATCAGAGGTCCGCGGCTGTTCAACGTCCTCCCAGCAAGCATAAGAAATATTGCCGGAACAACCGTGGACATCTTCAAGACGCCGAGGCAAACCTCAGGACCGGCTAGGGCAACAGAACAAACTTTCACACTTACATATTTACCTCGTCTAGGGCTGTATCCCCCCCCCCCTCCCCCTCCTCCCACCATACAACGCACCCCTATGAACCCACCAAACTACCCATCACGCCCTACCCACAACTGCCATACACGCCGAAGAAACGATTGAAATAACCTCTCCTGCTCTCCCCCGCTCCCCCCTTCCCCCTCCCCTCCCCACAACGAGCACACAATGAGAGCTTTGTGCTTACCCAATCATGAGGGTAGACTCACCCGCTATTTACCCACTTAGGAGAATGGTAGCACCTATTTTTTTACGAGGGGGGAGATTGGGGGGTGTAGGAGGTAACCAATGGGATGGGGGGGAGGGGGGATGTAGGGTTGGGGTTACACACACACACACACTACCCCACAACACATCCCAATCCTGCCTCAGTAACCTGGGACCAGATTCACGAAGCAGTTACGTAAGTACTTACGAACGTGTACATCTTTCCTCAATCTTTGACGGCTTTGGTTACATTTATTAAACAGTTTACAAGCATGAAAACTTGCCAATCAACTGTTGTTATTGTTATAAACAGCCTCCTGGTGCTTCGGAGCTCATTAACTGTTTAATATTTGGAAACAAAGCCGCCACAGATTGAGTAAAGATGTACAGGTTCGTAAGTGCTTGCGTAAGTGCTTTTGTGAATCTGGCTCGTGGGTGACGAGCACCACGTCGCACGCCAACCCTTCCTCCTCCAGTGGCGTCTTTAAACATCATCAAGATCCGGCCACGACGCTCCCATGGAAATCTTAATCAATAAATAATCAACTCAAGAATACCTGCCTGTCATCTTGCCCTCCCCCCCCCCTTCCCTTACCTATCATTATGTCACACAGATATGCAAATTGGGCCCACAGGCCGGAAGCCACCTGGGAGATGGGATGGGAGAGAGAGATGTGGGAGGTGTGAGCAGTATTATTGAATAAATGAGGGTTGGGAGAATGTCTAGATCAGCTAGATGTCCTACATCCTCTCGGACGTAGGTTCGAATCCTCGTCACGGCCCTTGTGGATTTGTTCAGCGGCATAGATTGTTGTCTTGGCAGATGGTGGTCCGGGCAGGAATAGGTGAAGGCAAGAGAAGAGAGGGGGAAGGAGGAGCTAATGGGAAAGATGAAGGCACACCTGTAATAAATTTATTATACCTACAGATGTGGAATGTTTGGGCTTAAGCGGAGGCTGGAGCCGTAGCTGAGGGAGGTGGTTATCTTGAGATGATATCGGGCTTTTAGTGTCCCCGCGGCCCGGTCCTCGACCAGGCCTCCACCCCCAGGAAGCAGCCCGTGACAGCTGACTAACACCCAGGTACCTATTTTACTGCTAGGTAACAGGGGCATAGGGTGAAAGAAACTCTGCCCATTGTTTCTCGCCGGTGCCTGGGATCGAACCCAGGACCATAGGTGGGGGGGGGGTCGACTGAGTGGTTGGTAAGGCGGGGAAAAAAAACAAAGGAGAAAAGAGAGAGACAGAGAGAGAGCGTGAGTGTTAGTGTGAGTATGTGTAAATGTGAGTGAGTGTGTGTGTACTCACCTAATTGCTCACCTAATTGTGCTTGCGGGGGTTGAGCTCTGGCTCTTTAGTCCCGCCTCTCAACCGGGGGGGGGGGGGTGTGTTGGTTGGTTGGTTGGTTGGTTGGTGGGGTGTGTGTGCGCGTGTGTGCGTGTTGTGTGCGTGTGTGTGTGTTTGTTTTGGGGGGATAAGGATGAGGATTAAAGGAACCACACACCAGCAGTAGTAGCACCCAACACCGTAACACCACCACTACCCAAGGAGCATCAGGAGCACCAAATTGGTGAAGGCAGCACAGTGTTAAACAGTTGAGTGATACTGGCCCAGCAGCACGGGTTACAGTAAGCTAATAACTGAAAAGGTGAGAAAAGGAACTGAAAAGGGGCAGAGCAGAGAGGAAAGGAGAAGGGGATAGGGGGAGAAGCTGATGTTTCGTGAGCACCAATCACTGGTAATACGGCCATTTTGTGGCCATGGGGGACCTTGGAGCCCGTCACCAGCCCTCGCCAACACAGCCATTTCTGCCGGGAGATTTCAACGCGCGACAGAG